TTATGTCTATATTATTATGTATAAAATGTATGAAAATGAATATTATATAATATTTTAGCAAACTCTATTATAATTATATTTTTCGCAATGCAAATAATAAATATCGGACTAAAACTAAAATTTTGTTGATGCATGATTTTTTTTTTGAAATGTCAGAATGCTATTTGTATGGGGATATCTTGTGTATCGTTTTATTTACATCACAACGCAAATTGAGTTTCAAAGTTAATAGTCCGTTCTATTTTCATTATTTCTGTATTCCACGTAATACCTGCAAATGATTTTAATTTACGTTTTTACATAACAATCGACGATAGCTGGAATTCATTTATAATAGCATTAAGGACAGTCCAATTAACAATTGATAATTAATAAATGAAAAGCTCGATGAAGAATAAAAAATTTTAATGATACTTTCCGTCTAAATTAAGAGATCTGTAAATAAAATTTGCTTTAATTATAATGACATAAAAAATTATATGACATAAAAAAAATTAATTTTTTTCTTTTTTAATTGTATATATTATTATGTTTTATCTCTTTTTATTTAACCAATTATCTTAACCCGTTGAGGTCACACCTCCTAAAAATAACGTAGAGGTCACATGGGGTCCAATGGACCCCACAACAGTTTCCATTTGCGTTCTTTTTGATGTATCGACTCAAACCTTGAACTGGAATTAATTTATGACTTTCTCTTGATAATCCAATAATTTAAAAAATTTATTTATGTTGAAAAAACGCGAGAAAAAAATTTTTGACTTTTTTCACAAAAATATTCATCAAAATTTTTTGAGATAGAGTAAAAAAACTTTGTGCGTTTTACTCTCAAAATAGTATACTTTTAAGAAAAAAATAACAAAAAAAAGCCTGGGGTCCACTGGACCCCATGTGACCTTAACGAGTTAAATTAATTTACAAATTATCTCTTTTTTTGTGCTATTAAGACGCAGTAATAAATTCAATCATTGTTGCTGCCACTCATTATTCAACGATATTATACCGCCCTCTCTCTCTCTTTCTCCATTTCTCATTATCACTATTACTTTTCATATAATTGCAAACTACTGCACATGAGAAATTCGGAAATTGCATTATCCCCACGGAAGGACGGTGCACATGTGAAACTCCGTTCTGTGAAACTGTTACTCACATCCCAAAATTAAATTACGATTAGCATAGAAATTTAGTCGGTCTTGCAAGGGCGAACGTGAACGGAATATCGAAAGAAACGTAACCATTGTAGTTGCACAATCGATATGTGAACGTAAATGTGTATGACCAATTGCACTCCAGTGTCTTATATCTCTATAATATTACTCGAGAAGACTTACATTCTAGATAATAATACTCACATCAAACTTTTGTTTTCAAAGTACATTGTTTATAAATGGTTTGCCTGCCACTCGTTCAAAGTTTTGATCGATTTATTCGTTAATTATAATCTCAGGAAATCGTAGATTTGAAGGACAAAAGATAAACACCTTGCACACTGACGTAAGCAGAAAATTAGAAATATTAATATTTATTTTTCGAGCACTTTTAAATTAAGTAATCTCCTTTTCTTACCTGAATTAAAATTTAGTTAATTATACATCTTATTTTTGGCAATTATTTATACATTTATACATTTTTGTCCTAATATATACTTACTAAACATTAAAGTTACTTTGATAACCGTTGATAAACGTGAGAACAGAGGAATGTCGAGGCAAAAGGAAATTAGTAAATGTCTGAGAGGAAGAAGATTATTACAGAACAAGATGAAGATATCATAATAGAGAACTAAATTATGCTTCTTTCTTCTGAGAAAAAACAGCAGAAAATATTCTCAATTAAGAGAGAAGATTCTCTAAAATTTTAAAAACTTAAAGATTAAACAAAAATGTTTTTTGATTAAGGAGAAAAATTTGTAATATTATAAGACAAACAATAAGTTTGCTGGAATTAACATTTAATAATGTGCCTAATACATTTTCAGAATGTTTACATATTTAAAAGAAAAACTGTATATTTTATCAAAAATTAATTAGTAGAGATTATTAAAAATTTTTTAAATTAAATATTATATATAAACGTAAAATATATAAAATAATTATCTATTTACGATATAAAATAATGTCCAGAAATTAAATATTTTATTCTTTAGAATTATTAATACATTATATTTCCTGACACAATAACCATCATTTATAATATTTTGTCTGAAAAAGCGAATTTATAAATTATATCTAATATATTGATTATTTTTATATTATATACGATTAATTACGCGACTATTTTAGATATGTTCAGAAAGCTTAGGCTATTTTTATAGATTCCTGTCTTCGAATTTACTATGGTGCGTAAGATTAATGTATATACATAACTAAATTTTATGAATTTAATTATTCTGAGGTAATTCATCAAATTTTAATAGCATCTATAATTTCTGATATAAATTTATCTAATATTGCGCCACAAAAATACAAATAACATTTCGATCAAACAAAATATTATCTGACCAAACTGTTATCTTTTGCGTAGGTTGATTAAACTCAGTTTTGTATTCTCAGTATATTCTGTTAGAATATTGTATTTGGATTACCCTCACCCACGTCTGTTATCCCTTTTGACGTAGAACTACGTCTTTGTCGACAGTAAGTAGGGGGTAACATTGGGAGCACAGATGCAACGAAAACATGTCACACTTTGACCGTTTATATCTTCGAAACTAATAATCGTAGAGTAATGATTAATACGTTATTAGATAGCTTATATAGTCCCATTTTCTCTTGAAAGTTTCAAAAGTCTAAAAAAACTTTCTAAATGAGGAAGCCAAACAATTATAAGCAAATAATTATGCTCAGGTCTCAACCACTTTCAATTTTGGCAATTTAATATCCATTATTGGCAACTTTTCCAATTCCATTATATTCTCCAGTCTTTTCTACCCCTATTTAATA